GTTTGAGAATCACTGACGTGGAGACAGTCTCTGACTAGTCATTGGCCATATGCGGTCAAAGGATGAAAGATAAGAGAACAAAAGACTTGAAAAGCAGGACACATGGACAGTGGGCAGTAAAAAACGACAGCTGAATTTATCGATAGTGCGTGTTAACAAGTACAGGTGTATGCTCTGATTGTGTCTCAAACTATAACGTATGTGATGCTCAGTCCAACCTGCTTACATGTCCTTGCTGCATACTGTCAAAAGTATTCAGAGCATTGGATGTTTATTGAAAATTTTCCTCTACTGATGACTTTGAATGGTGCAAGCAAGCTTGCACAGATTGTTGTCTTTCATATCCAAGTTCAGGTGCTAAATTTCTTGATTCTGTAAGGCGATCTATTATGGTAACATGAAGCACGTGTCCCACGTTTGGTGGAATAAGAAAATTGTTGAAATTATTCTAAGTCATTTTTAAACATACGATATCATATTAGAATCAGAGCAGCTTATTTTTATTTAACATGAACACCGCCCACACAGAAGTATAATGTGCAGTCTGCATGAATCATGTTTTTTTTTACATGAGAAAAGTGTTCAACAGATTTTCATGCTCTTCGACGTAATTTATTATGTACTATGACAAAATAAGTATGACACAGTTCGGGTATTAATAGGTATCCCGCCCTATTTTGTGCAATACTTTTAAAAGGCCCTAGTATTGTGAATATGAATTGCATGCATACAGTAACGTCCCTTAAATGTCTTATCTTGTTCTGCTTTTGGTGCATTTTATTTTGGATATCTGTTAGATGTTGTAGCATTTGGGACGGCCAACAGTGTACTCTTATCTGTATTATAGTTTCGTTTTATAGTAAATGTATTATAGTAAATGTTTTCCTTTTTAAAATATCTTTTTGGTTAAGAAGAATACCAAAATTATTTTGAAGAGAATAAATTGCTGAAAAGTATATGACCCCGCTTCATCTTTGGGAAATGCGTTTTTTATTTACATCTAAAATGTGTACTTTCTCTACCCGTTTTATTGGAAGTTACTACAGAAAGTAAAAGCTAGCACGAATTTTTCACTTAAAAATATTTCAGGGCATTTTGTGGCATGTCGTCGGATATATATTAACGTAAGAATCAATAATTCTTTTATAAATAAAAAATGTATTTAAGTCTTGTTTACCTTACATGCCACTCTAAACCATGCTTTATAATTTAATTTTGTATTACAAAATAATTGACAATTACTGCAACAAAGAAGGGAATAATTTAAAAGTAAAAAAAAACCTTTCTTAAAACAAGCTTTTATTTAAATACTCTGAAAGGAATAAAATAAACTTCTGTTTTAAACCTTTTTTTGCTATCAACTTATAAAGTCGTTATACAATTTTTAATATAAAAGCTTGTCGCGAGATTTAAGTACCCGTATTTACTTAGTTTGGAAGTTTTAAACATTAAAATGAATCAAATCAAGTGATTTAATTTGCTTGTTTATCTACACAGGTAAATCTCGCGACAAGCTTTTATATCATAATTTGTATAACGATTTTATAAGTTGATAGCAAAAAAAGTTTTAAAAGAAAACTTGATTTTATTCCTTTTAGAGCATTTAAATGAAAGCTTGTTTTAAAATCGGTCCTTTTTACTTTTAATTTATTTTTTACTTATTAGTTATCGCTGGACAGAGGTTTCTCAGTCTGTTAAACTCATTCAACGCATCAATGTTGAAAGGTCGTTTGCCAGTTAATTTTGAACAACCCAGCTAAGGGGTACTAAAACTTTTCTCACGTCAGGCCACATAAATAAGATAGCTGTTTCACTCAGGCCGCAACAGAAGGATAATGGGAAGGGGGATAAACACTTTTAGATCAAAACAACAGTGTACGAAGAAAAATTAATTAAAATATTAATGATTTTTTTTGCTTTTACTGTAATACTATATTAAAAATGAAAAACACAATTTTTTTTCTAAAATCCGTAATTTTAAACTAATTTTTTTTTTCAGTTTTTGTGCAAAATTTGGATAATACTATTCTACAAGCGAGAAAATATTTTCGTGCGATTATATTTAAGAATGACGAAGTTTTTAAATGTTTTATTCAAAATTCGAATATTTTTTGAAAAAAAGTAAAGAAAGAATTTTAGGCATTTTATTTTTTAAATCACAGATTCAAAAAGAAAAAGCCGAAAATTTCTTTGTGCAGAATATCGATTCATTAACACGAAAAAATCATACGGAATGATTTTGAAGTAATTTTCATGAAAATGCATCGATTTTGACTCATTTTAGAAAAAAAAATATTAAAAACAGAAATATCAGTTTTTTAACAAATTTTACCGTATGGTGGTGAAATGAATGATCTATCCCATTAGTTTATTATTTTTTGTCTCAGTTTGAGAGAAAAAATAAGATGGTTTTTTAAAGAAGGGTGAAAAATCGGAACTTCTTTAAGCTCAATCCGATAAGCTGCTGGGCAGAATAAAAAGCTAACATGAGTAAAGGTTTTTAATTAATATCTTTTTAACTAATTGCTATATAGGAATATAAATAATCAAATATTGCATTGTCATCTAAGCTAAACATGTGTACAAAATTTCAGCTCAATCGGTTGAAGATAGCAGCTTCAAAATTGAATTGCAAGATTCCACCCGAAAAAATTACTTTAATTAATATTTACACTATTAAAACTCGAAGGTAAACAAACGTATGTGACTATTTGTATCTTCTCACGAACCGCACAACACAGGAACTCGCGAAAGGTACCAAACGATCGAAAATGATTCGAGAAATCCGTTTTGACCACTTATATTCCAATAGTGCAATTAATTAAAAAGATATTAATTAAAAACCTTAAAACACATAATTATTGCCATTTTTTCCCGCTAGGCAGTGAACTTCCAATTTACTGACATTTTCTTTTCTTATCCCAGACGTTTTTTTACAAACGATCTAATTTTTTAATGAGACTCAGAGAAAAAAAATACAGAATCGGAAAGATCATTTACTTCGCCACGATATGGTATAATTTATTTTACAAAATAATGTTTTTTTTCTAATTTTTACGATTTTTTCTAAAATGAGTCAAAATCGAAACGTTTTTATGAAAATGATTTCTAAGTCGTTACGATAGAATTTTCTTTAAATTTAATGAAATGATATTCTACACTAATAAAATTCATACGTTTGTCTTTTAGAATCAGCCATTTAAGAAACAAAAATGGCTATTTTTTTAAAGATTTTTTAAAAATACTCAAAATTTATATATATATATATATATATATATATATATATATATATATATATATATATATATATATATATATATAAATACTTGTTTTCTTCATTTATAAAACTAATCTCATGAAAAATTTTTTCCGTGTGTAGAATGATGTTATCCCTAATCTGCACAGAGTTTGAAAAAATTGCTTAACAATTACGGTTTAAAAAAATTGTGTTTTTCGTTGTTTTCCCTTTTTGCAAGAACTAATTAAGCATTATTTTTGATACATTTTTTAAAAAGAATTGCGTTGTTTGCAATCTATATATGAAGTTTGAAGGTAATAACTTAAAAATGAAGTCCAATAAAATTTAAAATTTAACAAATAATGCAATGCGAAGTTGAATATGTCTTCCTTTTATTTTACAGGTATTTTTTCTTTCTTTTTTTCCGATGATTTCATCGATTGAATGCTTAGATCGCTTAATTTTTGAACCCGGGTTCGAAACCATATAACCACTTAGTTTTTATGATTGTTTTAAAAAATACTCAAAACTTTATTCGCTCATTTAAAAACTTCTCTAGCAATTTTGTAATTGAAAAGAAAATTTATTTCGTCACAATACAGTATTTTTTTCTTCTTTTTTTTACAAAACAAGAATATTTTACTTATGACTTTTTCTAAAATTAATAAATACCGATATGTTTATATGAAAATGATTTTTAAAAACTCATACTTTGATTTTTACAGTTAATGATTTAAAAATAAAATGACGGAAACTTTTTTACGAATATTTTTTGTGCCACTAGAGAGCTGCACTTGTCAAGCTGTTTAAGAATCGGTGAATGTTCATTTACTCTAGAGCTCTGATAGCGACAGGGGAATTTCCATAACAATATGTTATGCGTTTAAAAATGTTCCTACAACCCAGGGGGACGTAAACCTGTCTGACAAAGAAAAGAAGCAGAACATATCGAGACAGGGAATTTTAAGTTAGACACTCGGTAAAAGCCCGAACGACATCGGGCTAAGCGGAGGAGGGGGTGGGGTAGAATTCATTGTGAAAAAGAGTATTAGAAGTGCTGATTTTGTGAAGGAAAGGGAAAATTATAAAAGTAGAGAAAGCCCGTGCACCGCCGGGCCATGTCGGTAGTCTTTTTAACTAAATGCGATATTGGAATAGAAAGGGTCAAAACATACATTGCCATCCAAACTAAACGTGTATACAAAATTTCAGCTCAATCGGTTGAAAACATCCGCTTCAAAATTGAGTTGCAAGATTCCAACCGAACAACTTACATTGCAAGTTAAATAAAAGCTTGTGTAAAATATAACATACTATGTACGTGTACAAAGGGTAATTATTGAAAAATATCTCGTTGTACAAATCAAATATTTTACACAAAATGAAATAATTATATTTGGAGGTGCAGGTATCAATCCAAGTACCTATCACCTGCAAAGTGAGCACTCTACCATCTGAGTTACGCTTCTGGTCGACACATGTGTTATTGTAAACATGCTTGTCTTAACACCTGAACAAGATCTTTACTTTAACTAGGTTAACTAAAAGTGTTACGGGAGAAACTAGCATCGACTAAATAGATATCTTAGAATGTTTCAAAGTAAATAGAAATAGTTTGATAGATCTTTCTTTCTTAGTGTTCCCTGTAGAACAGTAAACATATAACATTCTTTGTACGTGCACAGAGTGGAAGTATTGTAAACTATATCTCATTGTACAAATTAAACGAATTTCAAAAATATTTTGCATGAAAAATAACAATTGGAGGCGCGGGGTATCGATCCCTGAACCTGTCGCATGATAAGCGAGCGCTCTATTATCTGAGCTACGCTTTCGGTTGATACGTGAGTTACTGTAAACATGTTCGTCTTAACACCTGAACAGGACAGTAACTAGGTAGATATCGGAATATAAATCGTCAAAACATGCATTGGTATCCAAACTAAATATGCATACAAAATTTCAGCTCAATCGGTTGAAGACATCAGCTTCAAAATTGAATTGCAAGATTCCACCCGAACATTTTACATTTCAAGTTAAATAAAAGCTAGTAAATAAAGGAAAGAATGTGGACATTCAAATTTGTTCAAGAGAAATAATTTCCGAATAAAAATAGGAATTTAAAGTAAATTTAAAATCTGCGATCTCCCGGGAACCGAACCAGAGGCATTTCATTTGAAGTCAGCTTTTCTAACCTCTAGGCCACGAGGGCTTGTGGAAAGAGGTAAATTCAGATTCTAACACATGGGTAAGAATTTTAAATTAATATCCTTTCAACTAATTGCAATCTTGGAATATAAATAATCAAAACACGCATTGCCATCCAAACTAAACGGGTATACAAAATTTCAGCTCACTCGGTTGAAGACATCAGCTTCAAAATTGAGTTGCAAGACTCCACCCGAACAATTTGCTTTAATTAACATCTTTTAACCTAATTAATTGTAATATCGGAATATAAATGTTCAAAACATGCATTGCCATCCAAACTAAACGTGTATACAAAATTTCAGCTCACTCGGTTGAAGACATCAGCTTCAAAGTGTAGTTGCAAGATTCCACCCGAACAAATTACTTTAATAAATATCTTTCAACCTAATTGTGATATCGGAATATAAATGTTCAAAACGTGCATTGTCATCCAATCTAAACGTGTATACAAAATTTCAGTTCAATCGTTTGAAGACGTCAGTTCCAAAATTGAGTTGCAAGATTTCACCCGAACAAATTACTTTAATTAATATCTTTTTAACTAATTGTGATATCGGAATATAAATATTCAAAACATGTTTTTTCATCCAAACTTAACGTGTGTACAAAATTTCAGCTCAATCGGGTAAATAAATCAGCTTAAAAATTGAGTTGCAAGATTCCACCCGAACAAATTACTTTAATTAATACATTTTTAACTGATTGTGATATTGGAATATAAAAAGTCAAAACATGTATTTTCATCCAAACTTAACGTGTGTACAAAATTTCAGCTCAATCGGTTAAATAAATCAGCTTCAAAATTAAGTTTCAAGATTCTACCCGAACATTTTACATTGCAAGTTAAATAAAAGCTTTGTAAAAATGAATAACTTTTAATATTATTATTTAGAAACTTCCTTTAGAAATCAAGTTTTCAGCTATGCGTCTTAATTGTATTTAAATTATTCCTCTGTTTCTCATTACATCTGAAATGTATACTGTTATGTTGATAATCCATTTTAGAGCATTATACGCAATATGACATATTTAATGAATTTTTGAATTATCAGAAGACTAATTAAAATTCAACTGATTATTTTCAGTTATAAATAATTATGTAAACTCAAAAAAATGTATTTTAAATGAACAACCAGTTTTAAATAAACGTCGTTTTTTTTAAAACGTTTTCTTTCAACCCTTTCGTGGACCATTTGTTTCCCTTTTGAATTTTTTGCAGTTTTTTATGTTTTACAATTAAATAGCATTTAAGAAAAAAATATTTTATTTTGCCGAATTTTAGGTTTAAATTTAAATTTTTGTAGGAAGAATACTTCCCAAGGTACCGTTCACCGTCATAAGGAAAATTAAAATTAATGGTGATTGTATGTTATGAAAAGATGAGCATCACATCCTGCATACATGTAGCGGGTCCTCTTTTCTTGTCTCTTTCTGCTGCATTTTATACATCGTCTATGGTTGGAAACCATCTTTAGCATATGATTTCCCACCCTGGCTAACCACCATTTATCCGGAACTACACACTTCTTTGCTTGGGAGATAGCAGGACATCCTTTCCTTTTTCTTGAGAAATATTCGTCTATTAGCGGAAGAACTAATGATATTGCGAATATTAGGTGTCTTAACTTCTGTTTCTTTTGTTCATTTGCCACAGTATGAAACTATTTATGATGTCTAGGTCAATAAGAAAATAAAAAGTGCAATGCCAACCTTTTACAAATCTTCTTATTTTATATCGTTTTTTCTTTGATCGAAGTGAGCAACTCCTCCCATGACATCGTTACATACAACTGTTACATACAACGACAGCTTTTGGACAGTATACTTCTTCTTTAGTATCATCAATCATACCATCATAATCCAGAGATTATGTGCAGCAGCACAAAACTAAAGAGAGAATTAGTCTTCTCATCGTTATAATTGCAAGGCCAATAAATTATAAAGGGTTTTGAGCTTTCCACAGGTGTATTTTGTAAGATCATGAACGTGGGAAGTAATACTACCAAGACCCACGAAACGGTTAAAATTCTGCAAAATTTATAAACACTACGATTAAACATAACTAGAATATATTGAAATTAATGTTATAGATTTTTTAATTTGTTCCCGAATTCTTATTTTAAATGAGTCATTTAAATAGTGAAGTTTATTTTGGGGAAAATATAGAATTCATAATATTTTGATAAATGTGTTTAAAAAGTAAATATAAATATTTTAAAAGATAAATCACATTTATATATAGTTAAAATTCTTAAATAATATACATTCTTTCGGACTAAAAGTGCATATGCAATCATTCTGTAAAAAAATTAAAACAGTTCAACATTTATAATTTAATTTTAATTGAAAGTTTCATACAAAGCATGTAGAAAATTTAGTTATGCACTAAGGATTTTAAAAACAGTTACGTAATTTTTATAGACATCTTGAATGAAGTGAGAAAAAAAAACCAGTGTACATAAAAATGTTTTAGATTTGTAGTACCAAGAGATCTTCCTTCACTAGCTTTGCTAATACTTGAGACAAAAATTAGAAATAAAAGAATAAAGCTTCTTGTACCTTTTTTTGTATTTTTTCCCTATTGTTTCATTATAGGGATTTGCCTGTTTCTTAGAGTTCAAGGGGGAAAAATCTAATAATTTATTTTAAATGGATATAATTTTTCCTGAAGTTAAAATGTATATTTCTTTTAAGTCTTTTTCCTATAACTGTATAGTATGCAAAGTAGAAATGTATTTATATTTGAAGAAATTAATTTAAAAATCATACGTTTACGAAAAGAGAGAGAGAGAAATGATAGTTAGACATATTTTTTTTTAAAATTGAGAAGTTTTTCATGTTTGAATTTATATGAAGAATATGTAATTTATGACTCCTGCAGAAAAGTAAAAAAGTTAAATAAATTTTTTGAAAGCTTAATAATATGTCATACAATTTCTACCAAACAAATAATAAGAAACATTACCTATAAAGTAGCCTGAGAATAATGTATGCATTATTGCTTTAACTGTACATTTTTTAATTAAACTTCATAGAAAATCGAAGTCAATGGTTTTATGCTTCTTGTTGGTAAAAATATCTATATTTCTATTTCACTTACTTAACCATTAAGATCTTCCTCAACCCATAAGATGAAGAACACATTTTGTTCTTCATTGCCTGACAAAAGATGGGAATTTCAGTCCCTGATAAAAAAAAAACAGGTGATCGCATAATAGTCAAAAATTTCGTCCTAAAAAGCAATTTCTTCTCTAACGCATCATCTCTAAAGTTTAAAACAAAACAAAAAAACATACTAGATTTTTAGTATCATCAGTTATGTAAAAGAAGTCATTTAAAAAAAATTCTGATAGGTATTGTTTTATAGAGTTCAACAAATGTGATTATATATCATTATATAAAACTTACTTTTGGATACCGGACAGATAAATTATTTAAGCCTTAGATATATTTCTAGGCATGTACATAACTTACAATTTGATTAATATGTACTTTTGAATGCGTGCTGAGCAACCAAAGATGTATAGAAAGTATCTATACTAATTATGTATATTGTATGATCGTGATATATTGCTCTTGACTCTTTTTTCTACTTACAGTCCCTGGCCAAATTATTAGACGCACTCCTGTTTTTTAATAAATAATTGTTTTATATAAGATTATATGCAATACTTTCACATTTAAATATAGATCCAATGGATTTTCAATGAGGAAATTAATTATATATTTTGCATTTGTATTTATTTCTCACGCATGGCAACACAAAGTTAATAAATTCTCACACGAACGTAAACAAGTTTAAACCTGCTCGAGTCGGGTTCGCACATGCTTCAGTTGCGGGCGTGTTTCTGTGGGTTAATGTGCTTTGTTTGTTAATTTAGCAGTTTTATATTACGCAGTTATTTGCTTATTTCGTGTGCGGCGTTTAAATAATCATTTTGTATACTTTCAGCATGGGCAAAAAGGCGATCTTTCACCATGTAAGAAAGCAGAAGTTAATGCCCTTGTGAATGCAAAATTGTTTTCAAACCGCGAAATATCACGAATGTTGAAATTTTCTGAAGCTAGTGTACGACACATAATCAAGGAAAAAATGAGTCAGGGGAAGAATTGAGCCTAAAAAGAACGCCAAAATGTGGCAGAAAGCCTATTTTCACCCAAAGGTCAGAAAGATCTTTAAAGAAAATTTGCTTTGAAAACAGATTTGCTACCACAAAAGTGATAAAATCGCAACTCCAAGGTATTAATTTGAATGCTTCTGAACGCACTGTTCGAAGAAAATTAAAAGATTTAAATTTTAAGACCTACCGCCCCACCTGGAAGCCCAAGTTAACGCCTGCAATGAAAGCAAAGCGTATGAATTGGGCCAAACAGTGGCGTGATAAAGATGTGGACTTCTGGAGATCAGTATGTTGTTATAATTCATTCACAAAGTAAGTGTTTAACCACTTTCTATGATTACAGAAGGAACAGCAAAAGATGTTTATTTATTATTTTTTACTTTTGAAAGGTCTGCTTCAGTGATGAAAGCAGATTTGAAATTTTGCAGAACAAAGCTCAGTTTGTGCGTCGTCGTCGTCGTGGAGAAAAGTTTCATTCTGACTGCGTTGTTCAGACTGTGAAA